CTTCACAGATTTTTTAGACAAAGTTTGCCGCTGTTTTTCACCAACAGTTCGCACGAAAACAAAAATGTAACATGTTAGCATGAAAGCTCAGTCTTAACCCAGACTTTGACCCCTCACATATCAGTTAAATACTGTCTTACTATTCCGAATGTATACACGTAATCTTGTAAGATATTAATGATGTTGGAGGAACAATAGTCAGAGACACAGTTCACCCCCAGAGTAAATGGGAAAACTCTGTTTCTGAGCAACACGCTGGTTAAAGATTTATGTGACTTTTGCAATGAACTTGGTTATCAGTAATGAGGAAAGAAGAGTGACAGAGCACCATAAAGTCTCCCAACTCACCTCACATCCTCAACCTTTCAAAAATACCAGTTTTAATATTTCCTCCCATGCATAAGGGGAACCATTTTAGTCACTGCAGCTGTCCGGCACAATTTACTACATCCAGGTAATGCCCCCTTATCTCTCTTGTACACAAATGTAGTCAATTCACAGGAATTCCTACTCGCTTTTCAATATTTATAGTCAGGAAACATTGCAGGAAAGGAGGTTTGAACGTAGAGGAGGTAAGGAGGAAAGAACTCAATTCTGAAATATGAATGAGTGCACTTACACTGGGCTTTTTAACGCGCACTGCAGCTCTGTGAGGAAACATGGGGAGGCTGAGTCACCGTGAGGAGAAGTGGGCCAAAATTAAGGAACAGAAAAGTGACATTGAGATTTATCCTGACATTCCTACTCCTTCTTAACTACTGTAGTAAAGGTATTTGGTTGTAGGATTAAAATCAAAGAACAAGTGATTGATTTCAAAGGTATTTTTGCATGTTGCATTGTAGACTTTTAGAATACAATAAGTTTTCAATTAAATATTTATTGTGTTTTTCTACAAAATACCTGTAAAAAGAAAACCTATATCAGATTTGTTTTTCCAACATTAAACCCAGTGAGAAGGAGGTGGTTTTTGCTTTTCTACTTTACTTTTCATTTAAATTGATGTCAGAGCTGGGGCTTGATGGTAATGTGTTCTGATCAGTATGATAATGGTGTGCTGGTATTATCATAGATATTAAAAAAGTGGAGCATGAGCAGCCAGGTCACTCCGCACTATAATCTGTTCTTCTCTTATGTCAGAGTCCAGTTAATATATATGCAAGTAACCTACTTTACTGAACATGGACCTCTACATTTATACTTTGACTCTACAAGCACAGGTACATTAAAATGACCCTTTGGTTTGACTTTCCATCATGCCCTTATCGGAAGCACCAAGTCATGGAGAAATTCACTTTTTCTTTAATGATTTGGTCCTTGGGTTAAGATTTGATTTGGAAACCAGATCAGTCAACATTTGCATTTAATATGAAAAGCCAACAAGTACCACAAAGGCCGGCAACAAGATCCTTGATATAAATTGGAGCTTGCAGCCCTGCAGCTGTTGACGATATGAAGGTCCAATTTTGTATTCAAGTTTCCTTTCTATTTGAATAGTTAAACAGTTAAATGATGCACAGATATTCATAAATGTGAGGACTGAAAGACCCAGGGCTGAAGTACTGTGGTTAATTTGGGCCTGCTGATGGTTTCAGGGATACTTCACCTTGATGAGGGAAAATCCTTAAAAACTTTTCTATGTAGTACTTAAGCCCGTATCCTGTTCCCTTAAGCCTACTTGCACACTTTGCATTCAAATCAGCCTCAGCAGTGAACTAAAAAACTGATTTTTAAAAGGGTAACACTTCTGCGTCCAGTTTCTTCAAGATGGAGCTTAAATGTGCTGCTTAATAGATCATTTACACTTTCCAGTTGAAGCAAACACTTCGTGATTTGTGAATAGCTCCTTATCACCTTCTTTCTCACATTATGTCAGTGAAATATAACTACAGAAATTAGCTGGATGTTGCCTTGGGGGCAAACATGGGCGTGTACCAATCGGAGGCTCTGGGATTTCATAATAACAATGTATGGATCCTTGGGAAAGATACTTAACCCTAAAGGCATGTAATGTAATGTAAGCATTTTATCCAGCCAAAAGGTCAAACGTTGTAGTATTAAGTCAGCTAATCCTTAAATGTGAGTTAATATGTATGAGTCGTGGTTGTAAGAGTATTGCTGAGAAAGAGGCAACACTGATAATGTGTTCGACAGTAAACACAAAGAAAAAGACAGGATGTGTTAAACGCATTATGCCAAAGTGGAAAGATTGGGTTTAATTAGATTATAGGAATGCCATTCAGAATTTACCAGTTGATTTAAATTCAATTTAGGTGAACAAAATGCAACAGAATAACATTGAAATGTTATCTTTTGTGTCTACAAGCATGGTGCTACAGCCACCAGCAGAAAAACCTGACTTCTTGGCTCATTTATCTTATTTAAGATATAAATAAGTAATGATTGTTTGAAGCTCCCTACAAGTTTGTTGTCAAAGTAGGCCAAGTATTCAACAATAAAAACAGCAGTTGCTTTGAGCCAAGCATTCTATAATAGAGGAGTGTACAAGGAAGGAGGCAAAAGCATACTCCATTTCAGAATAATACAGAATAAAGTACGTATTGTCAAAGATGGACTATAAGTGATGTGGAAAACTCTTCAGTCAGCCTTACATTTGTTCTTTTCAGAGCACTGCCTTAAAATGTTCAGCCACTTTAGAATACCTGTTAGTCTTTTGACAGCAGGTAGACATCTGTAACTCAACAGTATGACCTGAGTTTATCCGTCTGACAGACAACTCCGCACACAAAGATTACATCCGGCCTTACAGTGAGGCAGGCTCTGTGTTTGTTAAGTGCCTAGTCATGTCGCGCTGCTTTAAGTTGAGCGAAGAATATACTTGAGACGGAGGAATGTAAAAAGAGGAAAGCTGTTAATCCAAATGTTTATCCGCTTTCACCTGTGACAGCATAATGGCTTGCGCATATGTGCGCGTGTGTGTGTTCGTGGATGACATAAAGCTTTCTAAAGACGTGAGTCTGCTGTGGATGTCGCTGAGTAAAGCCTTTTGAAACTGTCAAGATGGAACTACAACTCTGTCTCTGAGTGTATTCTGACATGTATTATCGAGGGAAATGTGTGTTTCCTTACAGAAATGCTCACCTAATGGCTTCCACCACTGAGTTTGTATCGAGTCATTAAACTGCATGTTGGCTTTAAGGAAAACCAAATTGTGTTGTGCACGTTGTAAATGTGCACTGTGATGCAGAGCTGAACCCGAATGGGAAATAAACATGGCTTGTAGGTAATGCTTTGTATTATCTCCACATAAAGGTCACAGACATATGCTGCTTACCATATTATGATAATTGCCCCAGTTCCCATGCTGGTGCTATTGGATTACAAACAACATGATTGATAGGAAGTGCCTTGGAGAATGACAATATGTATGATACAAGAATAAATGCAAATGCACAGCGGTGTTTGTGTGAACGTGTGTGTTGACATGATTTGTAATATTTGTGTTTGACACGCGTCAGAAATATGATTCTCCGCCTGCAGGCGTTGATTTCAAAACGCGGGGAGGAAGATCACGTCAAGGAGGCGCGTGTCAATCGTCTCTCCCCTCAACCAGCGCCTCGGCAGGCATCTTAATGTCTTTTTTTTTCACATTCAATTTCCTGTGTTTAAATATGACACGCAGGTTTTGTTTTTCGCTTTCCCTTTACCAAACTGAATATGATAATGTCACTCGGGAATTGCAAGATGAAAAGATTTCCACGGTGCAGTCAGTTTTTTTTTTGCTGAGGAGATGAATTGAACAGTAGGCTCGGGGTTTGAAACCAATACAGCATGTATTATAATGAAATCATCTTGTTTTTTCTGTTCACAGAAGATATGCTTTGAAAATGGAGTTTGCAAACCAAATTGGATTAGAAATGGTGGATACTTTGTTAGGTATCTCCAATCTCACAGTGTGTGTGTGTACTTACTTCAATGCTGTCAAATTCAGTCCATAGCTATCAATATTGATGCTGGTTCAAAGCTGTAGACTTCAAAACAAACATTAATTCTGTTTTTTTCTGTTAACTTTTCTGTTCTACCCTTTTGCCGCATCAAAAGCTAAACTTTTGGTTGTTGTTTGAGAAGAACAGTTACAGTTGTCATATCCAGATCTACTCCTACACTTCTGGTTAAATACCACTTTTGTGATACCACGACCCCGGTATTCAAGTCACGCATCTAAATCAAATCAAATCAAGTTTTATTTATATAGCACATTTCTAAACGATTTTTGGTCGAGCCAAAGTGCTGTACATATAATAAAAATAGCCTACAGTAGAGACACTTTATAGCAAATACAACAGCATAGATTGTTCAGAATATCAGTATGAGAAAATCGACACCCTCTATCCTTAGACCCTCACATCGTACAAGGAAAAACTTCCAGAGAAAACCCACAGTTTTAAAGGGGAACATGGGAGAAACCTCAGGGAGAGCAACAGAGGAGGGATCCCTCTCCCAGGACGGACAGACGTGCCATAGATGCCGTGTGTAAATCGAAGAGATAATACGTTATACAGCATATAGACCGAATGTTAGGAAATGCATGTGTCTGTAATAAGAAGATGAATCCACGAGGATGTCAGCTACAATCCTGTGGAAGCCATCAGGGAAGCAGCATGATGAGACCCAAGGCAGGACCGCAGAGACAGGTTGAGCCACGACCCGAAGTCCACGACTTAATCCAGAACTCAGGATAGAGGATCCAAGACACAGGACTACAGCAAGAGGATCAGCCTCGACTCTGGATCCGGGCGTAGATATAGATACAAAACAAGAAAAAAGATTTGGCTGGGTTAATCTGAACAAGAGAATACACAGACACAGACAGAGAGGGAAAAGGTCATTGGATAAAAGTTATTGTTGATAACCCTCTAGAAAGATCTCATGAACTTCCCAACTCAATCTATCAAGACCCGAGCAGTTATATTAGATATAGGATAAGAAACAGAGATAGGGAGCACAACAACCTATCTCTTCGTCAGATGCACTCCCCCGCTTATCTAAGCAACTCTACCCCGTTACCCTCTACAAGGCCATAGACCAGCAGAGGGAAAATGGGGGGTGGGTAAGGGTAAAGGTTTTTAAGAATAAACCGCAAGGGTCTAAAGGGAAAAAATATGAAATATAAGGTACTATATTTTAAGTAATGCTATCTACTATTCCTATATTCGAATAATGAATAAACTATTTTAAAAATACTTTATGAAATCCTATGTTATGTTATAAATATTAAAATGCAGAACTAAATGAATAAATAAATAACTAAATGAACAAATAAATAATTAAACAAAAGCCAGAGAGAAAAAGTGAGTTTTAAGTGTTGATTAAAAAACCCCCAGGGTCTGGGCCGACCTCATATGGAGGGGGAAAGTATTCCAGAGCCTAGGGCCAGCCGCTGCGGAAGCTCGATGCCCTCGGGTTTTAAGCCTGGTCTTAGGCACTATCAACAACGGCTGATCAGCCGACCTTAAGGCTCTGCCTGGGGTGTAGCGATGCAGGAGTTCGGCTATATAGGCAGGAGCCAGCCCATTTAGGGCTTTGAAAACAAATAAAAGGAGTTTAAAATCTATTCTGAACCGAACTGGAAGCCAGTGCAATGAAGCCAGAATTGGGGTGATATGGTCACGCTTTTTATGGCCAGTAAGAAGACGTGCAGCTGCATTCTGAACTAGCTGAAGGCGTCTAATTGAGGCCTGGTCCATACCCACATACAGAGCATTGCAGTAATCCAGTCTCGAGGTAACAAAGGCGTTAATAACCCTTTCTAGTTCTTTAAAAGATAAAAATGACTTGGTCTTAGCCAATAGTCGTATTTTGAAAAAGCAGGTCTTGACTACAGTGCTAACCTGCTTATCAAATTTAAAGGCGCTGTTGAAGGTCACTCCAAGGTTCATGACAGAGGGGAGGATAGCATGTTGCCTTTGCAGGTGCTTGGAGAAACTCTCCAGCGTTGTGTTTGCAGCAGTGTACCTTACCGTCACATTTCTGTCTTTTCTTCTGACAAATTTAAAAATAATGGGCATACCTCCAACCCTCGAAAGTTATAGCTGTTGATGTGTCTGTCTCTGCAGCACAACCCCTGTGACAGTTCCATGTGGACAAGTCGCGCAAATGTTAAGCAAATATAAACCTGCGGCGGGAATCCCTCTNTGTCAATAGATCGGCGGTCGTGGGGGGGATTCTCCCCCAGGAGATTCGTAGAAATACTAACATATAAACTACCCATTCTGGTACACTCTGAGAAGAAAATAAATAAATCTATTGCTACCCGACATATTAATAATATTTTATGCCATTGTTTGTTTTTCACTTTGTTCCGACAGCTGAACTTGAACCACACAGAGAGAAGAGTAAAGAGGAGATAGTTGTAAATGACTTTAAATTATGGGTAAGGGTAGATAGCCCCCATTGTTCTGTGACCTGTCAATCATCAAACCGGGGGTCATATTTCATTATGTGTTCATTTTTATCTGAAGTTGTACCCATGGATGTATAAAGAATAGTTCTACCACAAAGTGGGGACTTCCGGTAACAATCTTGATTCTGATTGGCCAGAAGACTCGAAAAAACATCAGCAAAGATGTTTTATTGAGAAGATGATCACTACGTGACAGAAGTTTTCAAAACCTTTCATGGTCTCCAGTAGTTTCAGTCCAACGCCTACTGCATGCACAGCGTTAGAAAATCGGGCCTTAAAAATAAAAGTTTGACTTCCCCCCCCAAAAAAAGAAATGAAATATATTTTTTTTCTATTTTTTTTTCTTCACTCACACATCTGCGACCCACTCGAAACTGGTCCGCGACCCACTTTTGGGTCGCGACCCACCAGTTGAGAACCACTGCTTTAACTCCACTCCCTCAGTATGAATGAATTGCCACCAAAGATACTTATTTTCAAATATTCAAAAGTGCTTTGTCTTCTTTTTTTATACAAAATACTAAGTTTATATTTATATATTGTTGTATTGCTATGTACCCAGGCTATGGAACACTCTGCCCCTCCATGTGAGGTCAGCCGAGACACTAGGGTTTTTTAAATCCTCACTAAAGACACACTTCTTCTTCTCCCTGGCCTTCTAGTCGGAGCGGAGTATGACACCTGACTATTCCCTGTGTTTTTTATATATCTGTTGTAATTTATTGTCTTTTATTGTGATTGTAGTAATGTGTTTATATTTCATGTACAGCACTTTGGCTCGACCAAAATGCGATTTTAAATGTGCTTTATAAATAAAACTTGATTTGATTTGATTGCTGTATGTATTTGTTTATGGCCTTTCTTTGGGCACACAGTGGTTATGTCTGAATTTTCCATCTGTCATTTTTGTGTTGTCTGTCGTTGTTTGGTTTGTTTTCGTTTTCTTGTAACTATATGTTAGGACCCCATTGAAAATGAGATGGTTAATCTCAAGGGGTTCATCTTAAATGAATACATTTCAATATAATATGGCTTACTACTCAGACATTTGATTTATGTTCAAGTACTAATACAACAATATGAAAATCCTGGTATCAGGAATCTGCATTTGAAAGGTACTCAGGGAAGTTCAGAGTAATGGTCCACCTATTTTTTATACATAAACTGGTATTCAAATAATGATCGTAAAAACAACTAAATGTCAACATGACGGGTCAATTATTTAACCAGGAGCCAACTACAACATTTCACAAACATGCTAAATTAAGAAAGTGTCCACAGCAGTTCCCTTAACAACAATCTGACAATTTTCTTTTACACTGTTATTAAATACACTTGATCTTCTTTACTGTACCATCTAACCTTAGGCTGACGTCAACAAAACATATATTTTTCATCTTCTCCTTCATAAGAAGATTGCATTATTTTTAATTTGAATATTCTGGAGGAAGTGTTTCATTCATTCAAAAGGCAAAGTGGAACGCTAGGCATGGCACTTGTTGAACTGATGGATTTAGCACAGTGTCAATTAAAATGATACTACAGGTAAACATTGAAGAAGTGATGCATTAGTATTAAAAAGGGAACAGGAGGTTATTAGGTCACATTCACACCAGCCTTGTATAGTCCGGTTGAATCGAACTTTGGTGCGTTTACCCGCTTGGTGCGGTTTGTTTGGGTCTGTGTGAACGCAGTCCGAGACCTCTGAAGTGAACTAAACAACCGGACTCTGGTCCGCCTAAAACAGGTGGTCTCGGACCGCTTGCAGGTTAGGAGTCACAAGAACGCGGATGTCTTCAAAATCTTCAGCGAAAGAGTGAAGCAGAATGAAGTGTTGAACAGTGTCGTGTAAAGTGAAAATGCTCCGTCAACTGTAGCATACATAAAAGTAAGAGTCACCTGTCGTCAGTGAAACGCCCCTCCTTACTGCACAACGTCTCTCATTATGATAAATAAATATATAATAGAATAAAGTTGACTTTGATTATGTTATAATGTTTTTTAACGCACGTCGTCTGCTTATCATCATATGTGCTGTCCACTAGAGTCTGTTGATGTGCTCTCCAGATTAACAGCAGCATGAAAATAACCTGCCGATGCTCCATGGCGGAGGCTCCGGTAGAAATTGCCGGGATTTGCGTTTTTACCCCCTTATTGTCTGACCAATTGTTGAACAGCATTTCCGTACACGTGACTTGTGTTTAAAGTTTATGGTCAGTTTGAGTTTTGCCCGTGTGATCGCAAACCGAACCTTCTGAAAAATGAAACAATGTAACAAACTGTCGCCTGGTGCGCACCAGAGAAGCAGAGTATTAGGTTTGAATGCGACCTTAGAAATAGAGACCTTGTTCCTTTGTTGATACATTAATGTATTCACTACCTATTGACACATTTCGGCTTAACTTGTGACATACTAGCGCTGCATTAAGAAATATATCACGTTTTTCAAACCACAGCCTTCAGCATCAGCATGTGGGAGTATGAAAGAAATGAAGGCCTTGTTTTGTATGGAAGCGAAAGCGTTCTTGTGGGAAAATAACCTTTGTGGAACAACATCCTACAATATCAAGCCTTAAACACATTTAGTCAAACTGATATATACAGAATATATAATGATAACTCTGATTCCGCTGATTTATAATGCATTCCTGTGTTGAATAATGTAGGAAACACTGCTATGCATCAAGGATTCTTCCTTTCCTCACGATACAGCCGCTGCAATCAAACAATGAACTTAAGCAGCGTCTGCATTACCATATTGTTATTAAAACTTAGGGGATAATTTATGAACTTAAATATACAATTAATGATAATCAATGTAGACTCCTAAGCGCCAGCAGAAGCCTGGTGATCCGCTAATAGGTTTAGCTCAGCCATTGACCGAGTTATAAATTATTCTGTCTAGGCCTTGAGCAGGCTTCTGTTTACAACCTACATACTCGCTGACCTTTTCTGGTGTGGATTTGATGCGGCTGATCAATTCAATATTGTTCCATAAAAAAGGGTTATTAAAATTTCATCCCCCAAATGCGGTGTGCGAGCCCTGCTGTAATGCGAAAGATTAATTTGCTGGCGTTAGGCTAATGTGAATCACTCTAATATGATTCACATTAGAGTGGGCCTCAGGGGCCAGCATCGCAGGCCTTCCTGATGCAGAAAGGGAAATTAATTAAAAACAATAATCGTGTAATTCTGCTCATTACTTTTGCTAAAACAGTAGCTCTTAATCCCGGTGTGACTTTTTGATGTATGTCAGATAGCAACTGCTCGCTCAGGGGGGCGATCGCTCGTTGGCATCAGGCAGGTGTCAGGGGCGAGTTGAGGAGGAACAGAATGGAAGTATGGATAAAAGAAAGCCGTGCATCTGGGCTGGAGTAGAGCTTGATAACTCTCGCTCTGACAGACAGGGGTATCTAGGACAGGAGAGCGCTCTATGCTTCCTATTTCTCCCTGTTTCTTCACTCTCACAAGCCCCTGGACCATGCCAAGTCAGTTTGACTAAGAACATTAGGGTGTCACAGCTTGGGATTTGGCGTTTGCAATTCTATTAGAGCGACGACTCCGGAGGCATTCGTCTTCCCTTCCCTCTACCTCTCCTCCTGGAGGCGCCTCCGCCAGCCAACAGATGCAGGTTTTTACACATCAAAGCTGTTGACTTGCCAGAGTCGTTCCTTCACGCCTCTAATGCTCTTTGCTTCAGAGGACTGTACCTTGGTCCCTTGATCAAGTTACTAAACGCGGCTTTGCACATGGCTCACCACCAAAGACGGGTGGCTCACGCTGGGACCTGGAAATGCAGGCGAGAAAAGCATCTCAGGGGGATTGGCTTGTGCTTACGCACCAAGAGACAGGCCAAGAAAAAGAAGGGAGGGGGGCATACCAACACAGAGTACTGAGCAAACAACAAGAGCGGGGCCGAAGTGTGCTAATAAAGTAAATTCACAAGCTGGGAAAGACGAGCAAAGGTCTATGTATTTGGCAAACAATACAGGGCCAACAGCTGATGTGTACATGTGGTGGACATTTACCCCGAAACACTGAAAACGCGTCAAAGCAATACAACAACTCTAGAAACAGATTGTTTGTGCTTTATACACTTGGGCTTTGAAGCATAGTATTAATAAGTAACGAGAGTCTGTAGAGCAACAGAACTGGCTCTGAAGTGAGAACACGGCAGAATGATTGATTTATCAATACAGAAGCCCGGATAAATCTCTTCATTAGGTGTTCTGCTTTGAAGATGATGGCGAACAGATGAAAGTGCCGCACGACATCAACAACTGTAGCGCAGGAAAGGTGCTTTATTTAAATAAAACCACATAATAAGAAGTAATTGGGTTCTCAGAAACAATCGGGTTGGAAGGAGGAGGCAGAATTATTAGGAGTGAATGGATGTGTGTCTTCCTATGACACAAACGTATGCTGAAACTGTTACATCTTAGAACAGATTACTCCTCCTGAGGCATGTCTTCTTCATTTAAGTGTCACTAGCAACAGTCAGTATGACTAATGGCGCATTTCCACTACAGCGTGGAGCGCGGTTTAAGCGTGCCGTGCCATGCCCGTTTTTGGTTGCGTTTCCACTAGACGTAGTTCCGGCTAGCGGCTACTTTTTCACAGTTTTTCTGGCTCTCCAAAATCGAGGTTCTTTCCGGGCCGGCTGAGTATGCTAAACTAGTGAGAGAATCGCTGGCAACTACAACAAAATGAATCTATTTTACCGTGATTTAATTGTAATACACGTTTCAAAAGTATGCCGAAGTAACAACATACTGATACCGGTTAGTAAAAACCATGAATTAATGCTTTGACAAGTCTGCAGACAGACGGCAGGCGAAAAACCTTTTAAAATGCGTGTTTTCTGAATGGAGATCGGCTAAGCTAACGCAGTATATGCTCCGACCGTCCACACTCACAACAACGGCCTATACAGACATAATAGCGACTGTATTCGCCATGACACAGACAGTCTGTGGTTTGTACTTGTTTAACTTTTTTCTAGTTTCTGAACAGATATGAGGAGCTGTGAGCTTGAGTGCTAACAACTAACGACTGATGTTGGTTTTGTGTTCCCCATTGAAGATGACGTCACGGCTCCGTCTACACTGTGTTACGATAGTTACTACCCCAGTTCCTAAACTGTAATGGAAATGCAGCATGAAGTGAGCCTGGCCTACCAAGGCCTAACTATACCGTAATAAGCCGTGCGAGGCCCTGAAGTGGAAATGCGCCATAAGTGACCTCTGTCCACTGTCACTGAGACAGGGAGGGCAGCAGCAGCAGCAGCGTGTGAGAGGAGGTGACCTTCACTGGTTGGGTGTCAGAGATGGAACATCTTGCTATAGAGCTCGTGATTGACCTCCACTCTAACACAGGGCCATGGACCTTCGAGGGAGTAACGCCTTTGCTTCTGGAAAAAAACGCTAAAGGTTTGTTTCTAAGCATTCACTGTGTCCCTTTGGATTGATCTAGGCCATGAAAGTATGTGATGAATATAAAACTTGGATCTTTGAATTATTTTGCATTCATTGTACATTCAGTAGCCGGTGAGGGCCACCTGAGTTTATAGTCTGAAGGTCTTTTTCCTCCTCTGCTCTTTCATTCACTCTGTGATACCAGACACTGGGGCAGTTTGTGATTCAATGTACTGTCTGATTTATTTTATTCGTTCTTGTTATTCTTATTTCTATAACATCTCATCTGTGTTCTCTTCTTTTTGTTGCTTATGATCTCTGAGGAAGGACGTATTGCCTAACCTCCTCCTCTCCTCGTGTTCCTGTACCCAGATGTCCGTGATGTGGATGAGTTGCATCCCAGTTGCACCAAGGCTCCGTCATATTTCCAATATTTATCGATTTTGTTGACAATTCTTCGCTAAACAAGTACTGATTGCACATTTGCAGCTGCTTTATAAACAATGTAACTATACTTTGTGTGGGAATATACTGGTTTAATTGAATACAGCACAGCTTCTTTAATTCTTTGAATCTGTATTTCATGAATATTGAATATTAGCAGAATGCCATTGGATGTCTTCTCCTTCAGAGGAGACTTTAGAGGAAAACAGTTAGACAGATTTTTCACTTGACCATTTGCCGTTTAAATACCTTTCTACAGCTAAGGTGGGAATGTGTTGCTGTGTGCACCTTTCACCTACATTACCTGAGCATTTTATAATATATTGTACACCATGAATGTCTGCCAGAGTTGGAAGAATATGAGACACTTTCGTCTTCAGCAGGATTGACCTAGCATCACTAATTAGATCAGTTCTCCTCCCCCACAGCGCTGGGATCAGCTGGTCACTTTACTCTTATAAAAGTCACACTGACTTGTTAGAATGTGTTTGGGTTTTTTAGTAAGATACTCTTCAGCAGACTGGGCTCTGGTTTCAGACAGAGGGTGAAAAGAGGCAGAGTAGAGGCTAAAAATACAATTATGAAACCTGAAAATAAGCATATTAGGGCCCCTTCAACTAATTAACACACAAAGTAACTTTGAGCCAATGATAGTCTCTTAATCACAATATCTAAGGTGGATGTGGTGATGTCCCAACATATCTCCTAAAAAATGTAGATGTGTATTCCCAACTTCAAAACATGTATCAAAAAAAGGTCTGGGTGAACTGATCAGGACTGACACTATTGACTTGTATCTATTATTTGCATCGATAGCTAAGAGCATTGAGAGCCAAAAATGGAAACAAGACAAATAAAAGAAATTGGGTGAGTGACATTAGATCAATAAAGTTGATTTAAAAAGGTCAATATCAATTTAAATGCATAATCAAATATTATTTTTATGCCATGTTTAAAAAATAAGAGCATGCTTGTATTGAATGTTACACTTCACAGGTGCAAAGTGTGGGGGAAAAAATTGATTCAATGCCTAAAGATAGCAAAGAGAGAGTCCTTGGTCACATGCCGGGTGAAACATGGGCACACTGGCTAACATGGCGGCAGATGGTGCTGGAACGCCATAAGGGTTTAGGAAATTGGGGGTTCATTTTTGGATTTAATATGACGTTTTACAAAAGATAAACAATAAATTCAATATTTATGTCTCATGCCTAGCATCGTAGTTATGACATATTGCTTTTTCCACTTAATAGTCCTAGATACTCTATAACTGTAATAATTATATTAAGGCTTGAGGACATTTTATATGCTCAGATAAGGAGAATTCTCCTTTACTCAATCGGAAGAATTATTTTAATTTTGGGCTGTAAGTATCATCTTTGTCAGTGATTTGCAAAGAGAGCTTTAGAAAGTAAAGCAGCTGTGGATGCAGGGAGAAAAAAAAGAAATACTTTTTTCCTTTCATACATGCTGAGTAATTGTCGCTGTATTTTGAAAAGCTTCTGGACAGTTAGTGCTTATTTGCTTTTCACTGTTCTAATTGTGCTGCCTTGAGAAAAAAATGATACAGTACGTGCCCCCTGCTGGTTTCCAAACGGTAGGCAAAATCACTGTGAACTATTGCTGCCTGTGGCATTAACTGCTCTCACTGCTGAGAGGGGGCAGAGGGGAGGGCAGCATCATCCATTCTTTTACTGCATTTATACAACTGAGGCAGGGGTTAGTATATGGAGGTGTGTTAGTTCCTTTATTGAACATACAGAAGCATTTTTTATATTAAAAAAAGCCATTGCCACTAATCTCTTTTTAATCTACACAACAATGTGTCTCTATCGAGTGTTTCTAATTAATGAAGGCCATCCAAAAAGTCCAGAGCCTTTGTTTACTTTTGGAGTCAGTACTGCTGCGTAGCAAACCACTAACCTTTGATATGAGCTGTCACTGCTGCATAATCATAATCAATTTGGCCAAAAATGTAACACAGTCTTCTTCAAAGCACATCAAAACTTCATTAATACTCTTAACGCAGCCCAGTGGGTTACAACTAAGCTGAAACGTGAACATCATAGAGTCACATAAAAAATGTTGTAAAAAATGGCAGTCATGGGCTAATCCTCGTCAGAAAGAACAGCATGGAGGCCGCTCTTGTTCTTCTTCAATCAAAAATATTGGTCGTGGGTGTGTCAAGTTCATCTTGAATCAAAGCCTAGTTTGAGCTGCGGCCATAATTCAGTTTTATTGTTCACACTTCAAAATCTGTTGAAATATTTCATGCATTCCGACGTTTGGCAAGTCCACTGGGGGCGGAGATTTAAAACATGGTCGTCAGCATAGAGCTTGTTAATGTCTACGCATGTCAGAGTAGTTTAAAACGGACACACTGTTGCACAGGTTCTTTCTAGATTACGGTTAGTTCAGAAGGAAGAATGTACGGATTAACTAAGTAGGCCATGAGCAAAACAATGAAACTGTGGCTATGAGACTTTTTCTGTTTCCTATAATCACTTGCCAGAGATTGGTAGCACCCTACATAGATCGCTTTCATTTCCTTCCTATCCTTCTTCTGTTCTTTTTTTCCGGCAGAGAGAAACATCCCAAGCTCTTGAATGAGTGAAAACGCTTTGAATCCCTGATGTTCATTCAAAATATTCAAATTCAAATCTCCATAAATGAATAGAGAATGAATAGTAGTGGGAATAAATTAGCCACTCGCTAATTAGCCGTTAAGCAATCTTTGAATGTGACATTTTAAGAAAAGGAAGAGGTTTCCGAATGAGTGACAGTAGTGTGGGGTCTAAGGCCCCGGGGATATGGCACACACTCTTTGGGTCTTCTCCAACTTGAGCGTCAAAAGACACACACACACACACACACACACACACACACACACACACACACACACACACACACACACACACAAACATGCAAAGACCCTAATAAGTGTGGACATCTGTAACTAGGGCTTTTGATCTCAGTTAATAATAGTTCGCCACAGTTCACAGTCAGCAGATAAAGTCCCCCCCCCCATTAATGTAAGAGGTGGAGTAAGAGCTGTTTCCTCTCAGACCCGGCTGAGGACACCAGGGGACTGGACTAATTGTACAGCCTTCAGAAGGAAATTGGATGGGCGTGGAAGGAGAGAAATGTAGGCATGTTCAGTTTTGGTCACACTGGACCTGAATATAAGGATTAATTACACTGCGAACACAGAAAATACATCAGAGAAACATTCAACGCACCTACATAATCACATACACTACACATACAGTTTCATTTACTCACATTGTACAATCAGCTCCACCTCGGCCTCCCGGGGCTTCACGTTGAACCCGTTATACTGGCTGGTCTGGCAGCGGTACGAGCCCGTCATCTCCCTGGAAACATTGACAATCCGCAGCACGCCGTCATAGCTCTCCATCTGCATGCTGCCGTCCGGCATTGGCACCTCCTTGTCGGCTCTCGACCACAAGATGATGGGTTTGGGCTTTCCTGAAACAAGGCACTCCAGCTCCACTGTGTCACCCTCGCGGGTCACCAGGGGGGACTTGCCCCGAGGGACTGTCAGGTTGGGGGGAACTAAGAAAGAGAAAAACAGAGGAGGGACTGATATGGGGCTCTAGAAAGTCAGCAGGCGGGGTAAGAGGAAATCGTCGACGGGGGGAGGGGATCGTGTGGGCGGCATGGAGGGGGGAAGCGAATGAGCATCCAACAAGTTGCAATGGCAATGAATATCAGCAACATACACAGCTTATATGGAAGGACCATGCAGATATTAGCAGCGGTAATGGCTAATGGCTGGAACTGAACGATCTGACCATGTACCAGAAGTAAAACCATCATGGGGGGCAGCAGTGAGGAAGTTCAATGCAAATCAAGCAATGGCAAACAATGAACAATGCAATGAAGAGCGGACAAGCAAGTACACTTTGCGACCATGATGGTCAAAGAAAATGAACAACAAATGCTCTTTTTTGGACCAATCATTTATAGATATTAGGAACTCAGGAACTGTGAGCCCTTGTTTGTTTTTCAACTCTAGCTGAAGAACTGTATAGAAACTATACAAATAAGAAGAACATATATCTGAAATGTGGGACTTTAAGAGGGATGGATTCATTAACAGGACTTAAAAAATGTTTTTGTATTTGTCCTTGGTTTAATCAGTAATTTTGGCCACAGTCACACACATTTTCTGAAGTCGCTCCCACGGTTTTCTGGCAACCTCACGGTGACCAAAAACTCCAGGTAGTCTCTGACTGTGGCCAAGATTATAGATCAAAACTGTTGATTATATGCTTAACTTTTCAACAGAGACAGTCTCTCCCTGCTTCCAGTCCAGTATGAGAAGCTAAGATAACAGCCACCTGTTTTAACTCCTTTGATTTTCTTCCTATCTTTACTTGTTTCATCTGCGCTCTCAGCTCTCTCTTGCTTTTTTTGGATTACTCGGTAAACATGGCAATATAAGTTTGTCTTTCACATCGATAAATGACCCCTTGGCCTAGTATTGATCCTAGTGGCACCTTGTACTTGCTTACGGTAGGAATGAAGGTTTGCAGAAGTCTTATTATGTTTGACCAATCCGTGAGGTTCAGCACTGTGAACTCCCACCCTACAGTTCCTGGGCCAGACTCACAGCCGGCAGTGTTTTGTCACCAAGGACTACGGCAGAAGAACTTAATGTATTCTCAGATTCCTCCGATCGATTTCAAAGTACGGTTTCTGCAATAGTTCCTAGTCCCTTGGAAAAGTTCCTGCAGTAGAAAGAGGCTATAAATCGCTGATGTGAAGCTTAAAGTATCCACCTAATAATCCAACTACAAACACACTTTATGTACTCTACATCTGCCTAAGCAAGGCATTGCCCTTCCAAGATGCCATCAACATCATCGTCAACATTGCCATTCTCATCAGCAGTAGTATCATCATCATCCTTGTCACATTTCCATCATAATGTTGATCATCACATTGCTTTCTCATCCCAGTACTATTTCCAGGATTGATTTTGCCATTGAGATTACAACATTCATAATTCTTATCACCATCACCATCATTACCATCGCTCTCTGCAGCTTTTTACTTCTCCGCCCGCCTCCTCGTGCAGCTACTCAATCTCATCACAGCATCATATATTTCAGAGTTTACAACAGAACACTCCCAAAGGTGATAGAGCGTTATTGCTGTCCGTGTTAGAAAATATGACCCAATAAATAGTTTGCCTTTGTTTAACGGACACTAAGAGCCTTGACTGAAAGGAACAATGAATAATAAAATAAGTGCGTAGAGGCAAATTGCTGGACACATTTGCAGGTTTCAGTGAATGTGTGTGTGAATGTGTGTGTGTATATATATCTATGTATTCTCACTTCGGAAAGCAGGAAAACTAGCAGGTTGGACTAGGCAGTCTGGTTCCTCATCAAGAAAGCTAGCCAAGTACATTTGTTTAATTAGCAAACCTGGCAAAGTACACTGGCTCATAGAGTGTGCTCTCTGTGTGTGTGTGTGTGTGTGTGTGTGTGTGTGTGTGTGTGTGTGTGTGTGTGTGTGTGTGTGTGTGTGTGTGTGTGTGTGTGTGTGTGTGTGCGCGCGCGCGCGCGTGTGTGTGTGTATATGTCTGTGTTCATGTATCTTTGTGCAAGTCAAAACCATCAGATGACCCCAAGTCTATTCTGTAGAAGTGCTCCCAAAAATAGTTTACAGCGAGCAATTCGAGGAGTAAAAATCTTTTCAGCAATGATGAAACCGTGTCATGCTTCCCTGATGATGTTCGAAGCACTGCCATTCTGCCCAAACAATACTGCAGCTGGAATGAAGTCAAGCAACGATGACGTTTTATAGTGATGAAATCGCTAGCAATTTCCAGAAAACGAAGCAGAGTCCAGCTATAGTTATTTTTTACCATATCTGTCTCGGTGAGAGGTAACAATATAACTGCTACTTCAACTTTGCAACCGCCAGTTATCTCTTTTGTCCTCAAGGTGTCTCAAAAAGTATTTACTCAAAATGCTGGAACAGCCATATGCGAAACTAGATGTGAATTGTAGATTATGAAATATTACAAAAAACATGCAGCCCGGCTTCTAAGGTTGTGCTTAAAACATCCAGAACAACATATAGAAACTCAGAATAATAATTTATTCAGACATTTGGAAAAGTCTCTGAATAAGGCAACAATTCACATAATTGTCTCTTATTGAATTATTTGTACTTTCCTTAGGGCAATGGAAATTATCTGTAAGCACAACAACAGCACCCTATAAGTTAAAATAGCAAATTGTGTTAACATACAGAGATGTTTTAATGAAGATACGGAGCAGTTAGCATTCATTTGGAGGCGTGTTTCTGGCTAAATAAAGAATATAAGTTCAAAATGAATTTCCCTTTCCCGTCTTCAACAACTCAAATAGTAATTGTGAATAAGCTCGGAACTGTTTTCGGTTGATAATAACTGGTGATAAAGTCTTCATGATGGACACTCTTTCATTCACATGTAGCGATTGTATCCACTGTTAATGTTTAGATGTTGTTCATAGCAGTGTTAAATAAATTCTCCTGTACATGGGAAATACTTTTGCTGATGAATAAGCCTTTTCAGCCATTGCAACCAACATGTAATGCTGTTTGGCTTTACACAAACATACATACACATGTCGGTGTCATTAGCCTGGGATAATGAACACTGGTCATTGACAGATAACTCTTGGCAATGATGTTTGGCACCAACCGAGCAGCAAAAATGATCTTCCGCAGAGACAATGACAGCAGACACTCATTTCACTCTCACACTCGCTGATTGGTATTCGCACAATGTCTGGACTGTGGCAGCCAGGTGTCAAGAGCTGACATATTTCTTTCCACAGCATATTTTCTCCACTTTTCCGAACGTATCCTTGGGTCCAAACAGTGAAGCAGAGAAATGACAGAGTCAGGAAAAGGGGGGTTCAGCAAGCATCCATTAGAGGGTGGAGGAGAGGTGTATTCACTGAGTTGCCATCATTACACCTGGCTTCTCCACAGCCCAGATTAGACAGGCAATTACAGTTTTCTGCCTATTGGGTTTGGCAGCACAAATACTAGCCATCAGCTGCCATTGTCTCTCTCCCCAGCATCACGGAAACACAAACAGACATACTTTTTCTGCTGCATTCTTCATCCTTCTCCCTTTTACCAAGTAAAGACTGTGCCTTTGTGAGTGAGACTGACCACTGAGAGGCTCAGTGCGGCACCTAGCCTGGTCTTCACTGTGCTCTCATTGTGCCGAAGCCCTCCAAATGCCAGTGATGCCTGCAGGGCATGCCCGCTGTGTGCGTATGCTTGTGCAGCGCGCGCTTAGGTGGTTTTATGTCTCTGCATGTGCATAGCCGAGTGTTTCTCTTTCCGCCCACGGCTGACCCCATGCTGTGATCGCGCCTCAGTTGCTCAATGGGATGCTTCTTGTTGTCGTTGCAGTCTGAAAACATTGTCTGTTTGTGTACTTTGTGGGGCTAAATTGGGACAGGACCCCCTTGTTTGGCCTCAGCAGGGCAGCATATCTCCAGGGCCTCTGCTGGGATGATGTGGAGGGAGTGGAGGGACTGATTGCTGAAAAGCTTTCAGCGGGATCCAGCAGCGCCGCGGCAGACAGAGCCCAATGTGAGCCGACTGCAAAACGTGAGAATATGCGACACTTTGCATTTTCTTACATTGACGGGAGCCAGTGGTGCCCATTGACGTCTTTGAAAATAAACAACGTTCCGGCTGCCCCCTTTTTCGGGTTTAGTGCTGTGACATCACTCCCTGTCACCACGGCAACATAGCGCTCTCTAAAACTGCAAGTCCTGCAGAATGTGTTTCTGTATGTGTGAGTGTGTGTGTGTTTGGACAGCTTGAGGCCAATGAGTTGGTCACAATGTGACAGGGCTTTCTGCTCCTCTGAGTCCAGGGCCCCTGGGGACAGAGACGAGTCTCAGAGGTCCACTGTGGACACGTTTGAGAATATGTTAGGGTGGTAGAGCTGCATATAAATCCTGAGTTGCTGAAGTCTAATAAATAACCACTGATGTGTTAAAATTGGCTTAGTGCATTGATAAACTGCAGCGACACACTTCTGACCAAACATATTACTGTGTGTGTGTTATTTTCTAGCTCCCCTGATATCCTACAACTTACCTTGCGATCAATCACCCTAACCCCTCATGAATTCATCTGGCGGAGATTGTAGAACAGCCGGCTTTCCACACAAAAGCATTTACCCAACAGGTGAGAGTAAAAGGAAGGCCCAATTCCCAGTTTAGAAAGAAACAAACCTGAAGTATCGCCATTTTTCTGCTGCCAAGTAGTGAACAACTGCCTGAAAAGGACCAGAGTTTATGTACATTGCTCAGGGGGGTTTGACAGTAGTTAATGAGGGAGGGTAGAGGGTTTTCTATTCATGTTTCCCTCCCAGGTTTTTTCCAGCTGGACAGGGAGGTGATTTCCCAGATGGCCACCTCCATAAAGCATGACTTCAGGTGGTGCATTCAAGGCTACACGCATTACACTGGGAATAATGTGCTCTAGTCTTATTAACATATTTTATGGACTCACATCAAAGTGGA